CCGTGTGTCCAAATATTTCATATATGTATATATATGAAATTTCTGCAAACTTATAATACAGAACACTTACTCTTCAGCCGGGTAAAACTTTTCGAATTTTCTAATCTCAGTGAGAACCAGACCTGTACGTTTGTGCTGCTCTTGTTCACGTGACTTTTCAGCCAACGACTTTTGTTCTTCATCATGATACAAAATCAACGACATATACTGAAATCAAGAAATAAATCATTTTTAAATAATCAACAGGATTTTAAATTAAACATTTATAATAAAAGCCAATTATATTTACTTGTCTCTTAATCTTTGTAGTAACACCATACTCATGATTCTGCCAAAACAAAGCAAGCAGTTGTGCATACGATATTAGATTTGGATCGTACTCTACATCGACAACTTCCGTGTGATCCCCACTGCAATGAGAATAGTATAACAAATTATTGATGAAATTTATAAAAAATGATCTAAAAAACAGTAATGTACATGGCTCTATATGTCGGCGATTCTTTTTGTCCACCAGCGTATCCAACGCATGTCCTGATTACGCCAGGTAAAACGCCAAAAAGACAATCACCAGCCCAAAAGCATCCCATTCCAAATGTTGCGCGTTTTGGTTGGATTTCTTCCAATTGTCCGGGCATCTTGTATGACTATCGTCATCAACACGCGTCAAATTACACAGAAATACATGAAAAAAAAGAAAAATAAATATACTTAGTAGAGGTACAGAAATGGCAGCTGAAATTGAATCAATCAGATTATAACATCAATGCCAGAGAAACAAGTACAAATCATATGATTCACGTGTCGTGAAGATTTTACTACAATCTAATTTGATAAAGAACCGTGAAACCTATTAAGTAACGGTGACACTGAAAATAACCGAAATGGACAAATAATGATCGAAGATTTTATTATGCAGGCATTTCTATTAGAAATTCGTATAATATACACATTTTTCTAGTGTTAATAAGATTAACGAAATTTATATAATGGTAATTTTATCGAAATAACATTTTTATATTTTTTAAGTTTGAAGCAAGAAAAATATCGTAAATACGAGCACAAAATAGTTACAAATATTTTGATAGTGATTCCTATCTAGAAATTTATCTATTGCTTGTTTATAATATTATTTTAACGTCGTTTATTGACCTGGCATTTTTATGTTTAGAAATGGTCCTTTTGCGACACCCGTTGTATAGAAGGTACAGGTCCGATGCGTGTACAAAAAAAAGCGCGTTCACATGTACAGGGTGAACCATATAAATTGATCATCTTAATTATTTTCGTTTTTAATAGATTAATCCACGT